GCGGTCCGTGTTGTCGGTAACTAGATACAAGCATTTTAAGTTGAATGGAACGTTTTTTGAAGCCCACTGAGTTGGAATCAATTTCAGGGTTTGGCCAACAGCAAAGCACGGGTAATTTCTTTGCAAAGCATCCCAGCACACTTAAAGCCTAAAGCCTATCGGGATCAATTGGGGCCAAGCTTCGTAGTTGATGACAAAGGAATGGTAGGTATTGTATATTATAGTTTGGTGTCTTTTTCGATCGGCAAGGTTTTGAGGGAAGAGCCCAGGCCATGGATTTCCTGAAAGAGCCCAAGCGGCTGGACCCACGGGAGGACTGTGACGTTTTTTGTTCATTTCAATGGGTTGGCGGTATCAGCATTCGGCGCATCTACAGACCACCGGGTTCTGGAATTTCCTTTGGGGTTTACATCAGACACTTTGTTCTGACGTTGCCAAATCATTCGATTGTTTGGTCTCTCCTTGATTCTGCGTTATTCTCCTTGTCCTTTTTTTTCTTCGCAAGTGATGGATTCCAAACAGATTCCAAACATGCCAGGACTGTTGTTCCCATAGAATCCCTAGGCCCAGGACGGCCCAGGATGGCCCAGGAGTTGATTCCAACGAGTGATCTTCTCCAGGAGGGCGACATGAGCCGCAGCTCCTCCAGATCCTCCGTCCGGTCCATCAATTCCCAGCAGAGCCATCGGGCGAGCGTTCGGAGGAAGGCCAAGGCAGTGGTGATGAATTCGCCTTCCCGGAATATTTTGTCGGTCAAAGAACCTGCGTTTTAGTATATATAACAGGATATAATAGGATTATGTATTTCGGCGAGGCTCGTGGTGGATGGAAATGTATGGATCGCTGTTGGCCTTCTACTTGACAATTCGAAGAGTTGAGAGAAACGACGAACTTTCTCAGCCCCAGACTTTGGCAACTGGAGGCCCCAACAGCTCCAGTGAACGCAGAGGATGAGGATTCGGTGGATCCTTTGTCATTGCGGCTGACGCTGAGCTGTTCAGGGCTCTGCCCACAGGTCGTGTTGTGTTTGTGTATACCAAAGAGCCAGTCAAGATGCCAGCAGACCGTCGATGCAAAAAGGGGACTTCTGTGATGTTTTCTTTTGAACCAGTGGGTTGCTATCGCTGCAGCATGTTTCACCGGCCTTTTGTCAGTTTCACGGTGGAAGATCCCTGTTCAGTTCAACCTGACACGTCGACGCGATTCTTTGGTTCAGAAGACACTCAAGGTTTCCTTAAACATCTAAGAGCCAAATCATTAAGGTTCAGGCTTGTTCGAGGAAGCTCAAACCTCAAGCCTGAGCCCTTCTGCGTCCTAGGCAGTAGCTTCCTTGCTACTACTTACCCCTTTGCATCCCTTTACTACTACGGCCTACCCCCCCAAGCTTAAACAAATAAACCTCACCTGAGGAAGCTACACCTTCTTGTTACTCACTTTCGGGTCCCACTTGGTCGCTCTGAGGAAGCTCATCCAGGACGAGCAGAAGTGGTCAGACTTCCGGCGGTATCTCAAGCGCCACCTGCGGGAGCTGCCCGACTCGTCGAAATCCGAGGCCAGTGTTTGGGGGCGGGGGCAGTGCAAGGCAAGATCCTGGTGACAAACATGGTGTTTTGTCCATAGCCAGTTTCCTCAAGGTTCCAAAGGCCATGAAATGCAGCATACAGCAGCTTTCCTCAGTGTGGGTTTACTTGGGCTTGATATTGGGCAGGTGAGGGACATGGATTTCCGTTTCGATCTTCTTCCCACTTCTTCTTATGTAGTTGGACCAGCCGCCCAATGGAGAAGACATTGTCATTGTATGTCATTGTCATTTCTTTGCCTTCCCGCAAGGAACTGCCAGACATGACATGAACCTGATATACATACCCTTACTTTCACTTTTCATTGGCTGTCAATTTTGGTTTCTGTCTCTCACTTCCGTTGGCCGTTGGCTCACTGGCACCGGTGCCAGGCCAAGCAGAAGCTCATGGGTCGAAGGGTCACAGGCACCTCCAAGGATCGATCCAGGCTCCCGCGAGCGGGTCGTCCGTTGGTTCCGGTCCGGCTGCGTGGGTTCTGCAGCCAGCCAGCTAGGCCCAAGTGAAGGGAGCAAACCTGTTACGTTGAGAAATTCCACGAAAGGAAGAGGTAACCATTTCCAAACAACAATGCACTTGGCAGTTTTCAGGGTTCTTCTGGTACCTCCGGGTAGCAGCCATGAATGGAGGGTTGCACTGTTAGAGAGCTTCACCGTATTTTTTGTTGACTTTGCGCAGGCTGGAGCATCAAAAGGCCAAGGAGTCTCAACAGAGTCAGGACCTTGTGAGACACGTTGAAGAGGAGCTTCGTGCATGTACCCGATCGCGTGACTTGGAAGATAGGCCGACGGGGGCAAGAAACGACACTTAGTAGACTTAATTGACTTAATTACTTGAAGAGACCTCAAAACTATAGATACAATTGCTTCCCTAATATGATTGAAGAAGGGATGTTTGCATGCATGCACACATAGTCCTTGGGGGCTATTACAGTGCTGTCTGCGGAGGTTGCTTTTCTCTTGTCTTTTTTCAGAGCACGGTTAGGCCGTAGGCTTGGATGAAAAAGCAGATATTCCTAGACGCTCAGAGAGTTTATTTGAACACTTCTGTATGTACATATAATATACAAAAAATACAACAACTATATTAAACAACTTGGAGGGTACTGGCGCAGGTGCTGGTTGCCTTTGGCTTGGCCTCTCTTTGAGTTGTTCAATTATTGGGGCTCCTCCAAATCACACACCCCAAAAACGCCATTGTTGTTTGTCATTGTTCTTTCTTTGTAGAGCGACAAGAGAATTGGTGCCAAGAGTTCTGTGGGCATTTTCAGGATCTTAGTGGCGACCAAAACCACAACTCTAGATCCAGTTATGATGTGACTCGGTCACTTCCAAGGTTTGTGACTATGTTTTTGTCAGGGTGCAGTGCACTCAAAACAGTTTGAGTTTCTGTCCGAAATCGGCTGGTTGCAGAGGCTGTGTTGGTCATCCTGCAAGGCCACAAAGTCCTCAAGATGCAAGAGACCCTCCGCCGCCGCGGGGTGCAGTTCTTCCGTTGAATTCAGTTCGGCGCGTTCCGAGGCAGGGCAGGTGCACCCTGGATAGCCTCGTTTGGGTTAGGGAGGTTTCCTTGTGTTTTGCAGGCTACAAACAGCAAGCGCCAGGTTTTCTTCGGTCAGCGGTTTTGGGGGATGTTGCCAGCTCCGTCAGGTTTCAGTTGGAAGACATCCTCAGGGCCCGTCCCCATTCCAAAATCGGACAACTCTTGTTGCTTCACCGTTCATGGGATTCAAAGGAGCAGCTCTTTTCACTGGCAACTTGCATCAGGCAATGATGCGCTGATCCGATCACGGCATCAACAGACATAGACAGCTGATGTGATCAGAACTGGGTCTCATCCCTACGACAGTTCCTCTAAGGCGGTTTGGACAGATGTTCCTCCTTGGAGGGCTATGTTCGTTTGGGAAGTGTAGTAGTCGGACCTCTTCGGCATTTTGCCTGAGGGGGTTTGGGTTGCCGCCACAAAATTAGAAATTGATACCAAATATAAATCTATACACATATTATATATATATATATAGATACATACATATTAGTTTACAATACTAAGTCTTGTGAGCTTGGACGACACCCAACTCCAATGGGCCTCAGCCAGATGTTCAAGCTCGAGTCTACCTCCGGAACTCGAGTCTGATCCCGAACGGGATCAGTGATAATGTGCAACAGCCGATGCTGTGTCAATCGCATACCCTTTGCTGGGAAGCGAAGGAGAAAAAGCACGTTCCAAGGCTGGCCTAGAGATTTGCATTGTGGTTCCTTCTGGAAGCAATCAACATCGAAGAGAGCATTGAATTGAATAATATTGGGTAATTGGGGTTGGTCAGTCTCTCACCACATTTTCTGCCTGAGGGCCACACTGAAATCTTGGAAGATTTTCCATATTTTCCAAGGATCCCCACCTCGTTGGGGCAGGGTTTTCCAAGAGTACATCCTCTTCATGACAGTCTTCAATGCACTACTGAGCAACTTGTTAATCTTGAAGGCAACAGGCGTTGCCCAGGCAAATCCACATTACTGCAATTTTGCCCAGTTGACAGTTGACATGTCCCAATTGCTCCACGAGAAACTGCCAGGAGCTTTTGCAGCGACATGGTCAGCTTGGCTTTGAGAGGTTTCCGCGATCTTCCATTTTGGGATTTGGATGTCCTCCACTGGAGGACTGCGGCCAACAAGTGCCACGCGATGCAAACACCATGGATTGATCATATTTGATCACCAGTCAAAAAACAAGGTCAAAGTGGTGATATTGGGATCCACCTTTCTGCCCCAAATACATCAAGTGTCCTGAAGTGAGTTGATCGGTCAAAGAAGATGAGAGGAGCAATGCGCGTAGAAACGAAGAGACAGCCGATGAGCTCACAAAGCTCGCACCGATTTTATGCTTCCGCTTGTGCTCATGGGATCCGGTATCACCACATGCGAAAACCAAGCAGTCATGAGTCGTCACCAGTCACGATTGGGTTGCCAAAAAAGCAAAAACACTATGGGTTTGGCTGAAGCTCCTTGAGCAAAGACGGGACACTTCCATTCTGAAGCTCCTTGAAGATTCTGGCGGCGTGGCCTCCTCGCTCGCGGTCCTCCTCGTGGGCGGCTACGGGGCAACTTCGGTAGCAAGTACCCGGTGTGGGTCTTTATGGAGCTGGTAGACAGGTGCAGGTGTATGGGAGGGCGGAGTCTGGAGGTGTATGCTGGGGGGCTGGATGCCGAAGGCAGACCCATTCCAGTCCTACGGGTCTTCCACCTTTTGTGTCGTTGGGGTCAGCAGTCGTTCCTGGCCAGAACGCTGCTGTGACGTCTGGAGGGGGTGGACTCCCGGGGGTGTGGTTAGTGTTTTAGGCCCGACGATGTTCGGCGCTTCGGGAGTGGCTTCGCCAGGTGCGGTGCTTTCAGGCGCTGAGGGGCGTGGAGGTGTTGCGTCTGCCGGTTCGAAGAGTGTGTCTAGAAAACGGACGGGCCGAAAGTTTCTGAAAACTCTTGACCACTCGACGCAGGCGATTCCGACGTACGTAACCCGGAAGACTCCTCATGGGCCATCAGCTGTCGCAAGCGCCGCGACCCTGACGGAACCTGTCCCCCCCGCAACCGCCGCGGCAAACGCAAGATACATCGGTGGACTTGCACTAAGGGTTCGTTTCGGTCTGCTTGCCTGGAATACCCGAGGTTTAGGGGCTAGCTTTTCGGGTACCGCCTCGTTGGCTATCTCGCTGTCCGGGCACTGCTGAGTTTGCGGGGCCGGGTACGCCGTGACCTCTGCCTGGCATCGCCAGAAGACCAGCCCACGGAAACTCCGTGTGGTTGTGCATGGGTTGTTCCCAGAAGGAGTCCTATACGGACTCGGAGAGGCTTTTCTCTCCTGCCTGTTCCCTTGGTTGTTGGTGTTCTCACGCCTGGCTGGGAGGCCTGTGGAGCGGACCCGCTCTGTTGCTTTCACGGCTTTGCCTGCCTGTCGTCCGGCTGGCGAAGGGGAAGGAGGGGCGGGTGGGGAGGGGCACCGGCTAGGAGCAAGGGCGCGGGAGGAAAGGGCAGAGGAGGCAAGGATAGAAAAGGGTGCGGTGGGGGAAGGCCCGTGGGGAGGTGCTGCCTAAGGTCAGCCGTCGGTGGGGGCGCTCACCTCCCATACTGTGGTGAGCAGTTTGGGTTAGCGGCCGGGGTGGTACCTACCTAAGCTGCGCAGGACCGCGGCCTTTGTTGTCCTTAGTTGTTGGGCTACCTTCCCGCGAACATCAGGTCCTTGCTCGAATACCTCGCCTTTCAACGCCTCAACCTGCTGGAATCCCGACTCCTTTTCATGTGCTGAGTTTCTGGAGGAGGGTTGATTCTCAAGACCAAACCATCCTAAAAGAGTCGATTTTGGGGTTCACAAACACGATACCTCCGGAACCCACGGGTCTATAGGGAAAGATCATGAAAGAACAAGGGTCTCCATTTTGGGCCAAAAAGGGTCAATATTGACTTTTCATGTCTCGCATGTTTTCAGGGAAGCTCCAAGTCGACGATTCGGATTCCATGAGACATGCTGCCTCCGCGAGACGGTGAGCCAGCGTGAAAAGGATGCTGGGAGGTTTGGAGGGACCGCACTCCGAGCATGTGACAACCGACTCAAGCGCCGCCAAAATTTCCAAGCATGTGGGTATTGAATGGGGTTTATCATTCAAAAATTATACTTATATAGAATGATTGACAATTGAAGGCTGATTGTGGTGCTACTGATACTGTCACAGACCAAATACGGAGACTGGGGACGTCCTACGAGGGAAGTGTGTCAAATAGATTGCTGGAACAAATATGCGACACTATACAACTGTTTTTGGCGAACACAAGACTTCCACTGGCTGCACAGTTTCAGTCTTGCACACTCCATTTCAGTCTTCGTGACAACTTCGTGCAAGTTCATTCATTTTGCTGATCATGTCACTTAGTTTTGTTTTATGCAGGTAAATCCCCTCCCACCACTTTTAAATAGGGGTCTTTGGAAGGGAGTGCCAGTTTGAGACACTGAACATGCACATGTTCTTTTGACAATGATACTTGACAATGATAACTCCTGTACTCTTCACAAGAAAGGTTTAGTTTCCCCCCAAATCGAGGAACCAAATCATTCAGCAACCCTTTTGCGTCCGTTTGGTACTGTAATTAAACAACCCTTTTTGCGTCCGGATTGTACTGTATTAGCTACTTAAGTTATCTTCAGTTACTATACTATACAGTGCCCCTTTATGGTGCCGAGCTTACTTCGCTCTTCACGGCGCCAGGTCTACGTGGGCCGCGGGGCCTCCCGCGTCCGAGACCTCTTCAAGCAGGCGGAGTCGAGTCGAGTCTCGCGCGGTGGACGGTTCGCGTCCAGTGCCTTTGGGGATACCCTCTCACCCTCCAAGGCACAGCCTCTAGCGATGGCCTCCACCCTTGCCTCTCAGCAGCCTCTTTGCATCCTTTGGTGCTGATCGTCGCATATCGTCGATGGCCCTTTCTTTGGCGCACAGTGTTCGTTTCTCCAGTCCCAGAGATTCGGAGTCGAAGGACTCTGTGACTCGCAAAGTCTGGGCAAGTCGGAGTTACACACGATTGTCCTCGACGCTTTGTAGGCGCGAGTGATGGCTCCGGTGGTGCTCTTTCTCGATGAACTGGATGCTTTGGGTGCCCAAGTGACTGAAGCGGGCGGGAAGCGCGAGAATTGCGCGACGACGACAACGGTGATTTGGTTGGATCTCTCAGAAGGGCTTGCTCAACTCACAGAGGCGATTCTCTCAACTCACAGACAGAGGCTCTCGTCCACGACCGATTTTCAGAAACATGGAGCACCGGAAATCTCCAAAGGTCCCAGCGCTTGGGTCCCAGAGCAGTGCTGAGGAAGAGCTTGCCGGGTGATGGAATTGCACGGATTGCACTAGTAGGACACCAAAACTCTAGATCTCTAGACCAGATTCAAAGCCTTAGGTCACCTGTTGAGGAAGGCATAGACTCAAAGGCCTGTAAAGGCCTCTTGGAGGACAAATTCCTCCACGAACTACAGTTCCGCCATACTGGTTTGAACGTAGCCAGGATCCGTACTTCCGGTAGTTTCACGCGGGGTTTCGGTGGTGTTCCGTTTTGCCAGGTACACGAAGCCGTGGACATGGGGGACTTGGTGGCAGCGAGGCATGGGGGTTTCATGGACGGCATGGGGGTGTACGCTTTCTGGCAGACTACGTCAGTGGCCAGTTACTGCCAGTTGGCCACGAAAAGTGATTTGAAGGAGTTCGCCAGATGTCGCTATGGGCCGGGGGGAAGAAAAGAATGATACCAGAGTGCTCTAAGAACGAGGGAACAAGAGAAATCAATAGAGTTGGTCTCGTGGAGCTTCGGTTTGGCACGAGCTTGGGTCCGCGACACCAGAGAAAAACGATCCAGGAATATGTGCAGACTCTGAACCAGCTGCTGTCCGAGTTGGACGGGCCAGACACTTGGATGGACCATTGCCCAAGCACCGTAGGCACCGTAGGCCATTTCCATCGAAACCTTCATCTCACAAACCGGACGAAACCGCTTCGTGACTGAATCGTCCAATGTTTGATGTGAATGCCTACCCCGATGGTCTGATGTGTCAGTCACCTCTACAGCGTTTTCACTGTCGCAGCTTTCGTTGTTTGTCTTTCTTTGAAGCGAGTAAGGCGAAGTAAGCTTACTGATTGTAAGTAAAGAGAAGCCATTACATGCAACGTACAAACCTTGAAGAACCTTCGCTGGACGAAACTAGTCCTAGATTTGCAGGGAGGGAGCTTTAATGTTGGGGAAAGATACAGGGTTTGTCGTACCTTTCTCCTTTCTCTTAGCCCTTTTAGATCCTTTTAGAGTCTTTTGGACGGGTAGAGTGGTACATATCCTCAAGAAGGCAACTTAACAACGTGTTCGAACACACAGCGGAATACTTTCGTTGGACATTCAGATTGCCACATGGTTTCAGATCGCTAGCTTCCTTTCCCATGTG